CACAGATGTGAACTGGGGCTCCTCCACACAGGCTCTTTCCTATGTGAGTGCTTTAGACAACGCTCTGGAATTAACCACAGTGGAAGACCATGTAAAAAACTTCAGGTAAAGCTGGTGTCTCAGGCATCCTGGTGTTGTTCCACCTTAGAAGTGGCTCTCCTTTATGAGAGACAAGGGCATTCAAGTAGTTATAAGCTTTAGGGGTACATTCTAAAAATAAGCAGCCATACAAAACTGCTACATTTTCATGACAGCACCTCCTGTGAGTGAGTGCTTCTTTCCTTCCACACCCTACTCTGCCCACCCCAAACTACAGCCCCTCATAGTGCCAGGTGTCACCTTCCATGCGTGGAGACAGCAAAGTGGACTAAGTAATGTGACTTCAGAGAGATGATCCTAAATCCCCACACACATTATTCTGCAATTGTTTCCATTCCACTTAAGGCTTTAGGGCTTACTGAATTCTCTTAAGAGTAACGCTTTTTGCTTTTCATTAGTTGTATCTTATTTTGAATGAAATCTGAAACACAAGCTTGTATGAAGAATGAAAGAAAGTAACATAAAAATCTTGCTTGGAGAGGAACAGATTGCCTTGGGATTTGGGGTAGGTGGCTAGAGGAAAAAGGAGAGGGGGACTGTATTAGTCCATTTTCATACTGCTATGAAGAGATACCCAAGACTGGGTAATTTATAATTTTAAAAAAAGAGGTTTAATGGACTCTCAGTTCTACCTGGCTGGGGAGGCCTCACAATCTTGGCAGAAGGCAAAGGGGGAGCAAAGGCATGTCTTACATGGCAGCAGGCAAGGGGGTGTGTGCAGGGGAACTGCCCTTTATAAAATCATCAGTTCTTGGGAGACCTATTCACTGTCAGGAGAACAGCACAGGAAAACCCACCCCCATGATTCAATTACCTCCCACTGGGTCCCTCCCATAACACATGGGGATTATGGGAACTATAATTCAAGATGAGATTTAGGTGGGGACACAGCCCAAACCATGTCATTCCATCCCGGGTCCCTCCCAAATTTCATGTCCTCACATTTCAAAATTAATCATGCCTTCCCAACAGTCCCCCAAAATCTTAACTCATTTCATCATTAACTCACAAGTCCACAGTCCAAAGTCTCATCTGAGACAAAGCATGTCCCTTCTGCCTATGAGCCTATAACATCAAAAGCAAGTTAGTTACTTCCTAGCTAAAATGGGAATACAGGCATTTGGTAAATACACCTGTTCCAAATGGGAGAAATTGGCCAAAACAGAGGGGCTACAGGCCCCACGCAAGTCCGAAATCCGGTGCGGTAGTAAAATCTTAAAGCTCCAAAATGATCTCCTTTGACTCCTTGTCTCATATCCAGGTCATATTGATGCAAGGTGGGTTCCCATGGTGTTGGGCAGCTCTGCCCCTGTGGCTTTGCAGGGTACAGCCTCCCTTCTGGTTGCTTTCACTGGCTGGTGTTGAGTGTCTGCAGCTTTTCCAGGTGCACGGTGCAAACTGTCGGTGGATCTATCATTCTGGGGTCTAGACGACTGTGGCCTCTTCTCACAGCTCTACTAGGCAGCACCCCAGTGGGGAGTCTGTCTGGGAGCTCCAACCCCACATTTCCCTTCTGCACTACCCTAGCAGAGGTTCTCCATGAGTGCTCTGCCCCTGCAGCACACCTCTGCCTGGATATCCAGGCATCTCCATACGTCCTCTGATATCTAGGTGGAGGTTCTCAAACCTCAATTCTTGTCTTCTATGCACCCACAGGACCAACACCACAAGAAAGCTGCCAAGGCTTGGGACTTGCACCCTCTGAAGCCACCACCCAAGCTATACCTTGGCCCCTTATATCCATGGCTGGAGCGGCTAGAACACAGGGCACCAAGTCCCTAGGCTGCACACAGCAGGGGGGCCCTGGACCATGCCCAGGAAACCATATTTCCCTCCTGGGCCTCCAGGCCTGCTATGCGAGGGGCTGCTGTGAAGTTCTCTGACATGCCCTGGGAATATTTTCCCCATTGTCTTGGTGATTAGCATTTGCCTCCTTTTTACTTATGCAAATTTCTACAGCCAGCTTGAATTTCTCCCCAGAAAATGATTTTTTCTTTTCTACTGCAAATTTTTCCAACTTTTTTGCTCTGCTCCCCCTTGAACACTTTGCTGCTTAGAAATTTCTTCTGCCAGATACCTAAATCATCTCTCTCAAGTTCAAAGTTTCACAGATTTCTAGGGCAAAGGCAACATGCTGCCAGTATCTTTGCATAACAAGAGTGACCTTTTCTCCAGTTCCCAAGGAGTTCCTCATCTCCATCTGAGACCACCTCAGCCTGGACTTTGTTGTCCATATCACTATCAGCATTTTGGTCAAAGCCATTGAATAAGTCTCTATGAAGTTCCAAACTTTTACACATCTTCCTTTCTTCTGAGCCCTCCAAGTCCCTAGGAAGTTCCAAACTTTTCCACATTTTTCTATCTTCTTCTGAGCCCTCCAAACTGTTCCAACCTCTGCCTGTTACACATGGTTCCAAAGTCACTTCCACATTTTTGGGTACCTTTACAGCAACACCCCATTCTACAGGTACCAATTTTAGTCCATTTTCATGCTGCTATGAAGAAATACCCAAGACTGGATAATTTTTCTAGAAAAAGAGATTCGATGGACTCATAGTTCCACATGGCTGAGGAGGCCTCACAATCATGGCAGAGGGTGAAGGAGGAGCAAAGTTACGTCTTACATGGTGGCAGGCAAGAGAGTGTACGCAGGGGAACTGCCCTTAATAAAACCATCAGGTCTCTTCAGACTTACTCACTATCATGAGAACAGCATAGGAAAATCTGTCCCCATGATTCAGTTACTTCCCACTGGGTCCCTCTCACAATACATGGGGATTATGGAAGCTACAATTCCAGATGAGATTTGGGTGGGAACACAGACAAACCATATCAGGGACCACAAGACTACTTTTTCCTTACTTCACACTTTTGCTATGACTAACTGAACTGAGAACACAAACATGTCAAGATGGACAGGCAGATGATTCAAGAATTCTAGTGCAAAACCCATAAAATAGGGGAGAGGTTGTCCCATTTTTCCAAGCCTGTGTACCTGTCATCCCATTGGAATGGTTCTAAGGTTACAGACTTCTTGCAGTGGCCCATTCTCACATCTTTTTTTCACTTCCAGGCCCCAATGCATTGTCTTAACAGGGGGACCCATGACAAGACCTGCTCTCCTGGACATAACTCACGCCTTTACCAAGAACAGTGGCCTTTGCATCTGCTGTGAAGTCTTTGTGGTAAGAGTCACTTCACCCCAGGGAAGTGCTTTTTCCTCCCTGCTTGCCTTGGATTATTTTGGGTGAAGAGAAAAGGTACATGCAGTGATAGGAAAATAGAAAAAAAAACAGTTTATAGGAGAGCCCTCTACCTTGATTCATAGAGCAAAGACGAGCAAGAGCCCGTGATCCTGAATTTAAACAGGTAGATGTAAAGTGTTTCAGATTTCATAAGAGACCAACTAAAAGTGACAAATATTTCCAAGTGATGGCCTTTGAGTCAAGAAAAAGATAGCTGGCTCAGAAATAAAGTGAAGGCATTTGGGGTGATAACTGTCTACAGAAATATAAAAGGATGGAATGAGCCAGATAGAGCACTATTACAGAGATTAACTGATGAGGAAAGAACCAGACATAATGGCCTTAAATGACAGCACATGGAATTTAGATTAAATATTTGGATAAGTTTGATGACACTGCAGATACTCAAAAAACTAAACCAAGTTTTTCATGTCTTAGATAAACATTCAGAGCTAAATGAATTATTTTTGTTCAGGAAATACGAGGTAGACTGATAATAACCTATTGGTGACTTCCCTAGGAGGTATTCAAAACTAGTGCTAGTAATTTAACCATAATTGTTGACCAATCTCTCAAGTGTGGAGAAAGCGTTAAAATAATAAAAAAATAATAAGCCGAAGGGTGCAGTGGCTCACGCCTGTAATCCCAGCACTTTGGGAGGCCAAGGTGCGTGGATCACCTGAGGCCAAGAGTTCGAGACCAGCCTGAAGAACCTGGAGAAACCCTGTCTCTACTAAAAATACAAAAATTAGCCAGGCATGGTAGTGTATGCCTGTAATCCCAGCTACTCAGGAGGCTGAGGCAGGAGAATCGCTTGAACCTGGGAGGTGGAGGTTGTGGTGAGTCAAGATCGCACCACTGCATTCCAGCCTGGGCTACAGAGCAAGACTCCATAATAATAATAATAACAATAATAATAATAATAATAATAACAATAACAATAATAATAATAATAATGATAAAGTCTAAGTCTTCCACACTAGCCCACCTCTACTTGTATTCCCCCCCCCACACACACCACTCAAAATTCTCAGCTAACAATGTATTTTTATAGTACTTAAGTACTTGCCTATTCTTCAAACCATTTTTCTTCAAAGCATTTTTCTACAGTTTTTCTTATTGGAGCCCCACAATAGCCTAGTGAAGCAGGACAGAAAAGTAGCCCTGTTCCCATTTTACTGATTGGGAAAGTGAGATTCAGGAAAATTAAGTTATTGCACTGGATCACACAACAAGAAAGTGGTAGAGCCAAGATATCAGTCCGGGTCACACAAGTGTGCTAAGTGTCACACCTTGAGGAGAAAGCCTTAGCACACTTGCATCCTTGGGAGTACTATTAGAATCCAGCACCACTACTTAAATCTCCAATACCTGCCAAGGAATGGGGCTGTCAGGAAGTCAGGTGACTTTCAAGCCAGTCAACTCTGCCATGATGCTGGGGGCTAATTTACCATATGTCATTGTGATCAGCACTTAAGCATCTCTTTACACTTGGCAATATTCTAAATGCTCTATGAAGCAGTTGTTCATATTCTCTTTCCTCTCAGTGCTTATATGACAGTAATTCAAACAATATAACTTAATGCAATTATCTGGTAGGAGATGGAGAGACTCCTACTGAGTACTTGTGAGATTGACAGGTTAAGTAATGACCAACTGTGACTCCAGAGAATTTTTAAAAATCTTATCAAGCACCTCTCTCTCACATTATCAACTTTGGTGCCCTGGATTGGTGGATTTCATTTTGGACAATGTAATATAGGAGCCAGTTTTGATGAAATAAGCAGTTTGGGGTGTTTTTCTTCTCCAGCAATTTAGAGAAAACTTAGTTTAGCAGGCAATAAAATATCTTTAGGACTGAAGAAATAAACTGGAAGTATAAACAGTCATCTACTGGCAAAGGAGAAAGGGTCTCCTAAGAAACAAGAGAGACTGCTTTTAATTAACCCTTTGCTGCTTTAACTATAATACAGGAGGATAGTGCTGGAATATCATTTCATTTGAAGTAGGCACCTTAGTCTGTGCCCCCAATGGCCCTGTTTGTTTGACACATATGTTGGGCTGCATTATACATTACTATACTGGTCTCTCCACGTAGGGCCCAAGAGTCTTGCTCTCAGGTGCCAAGGTTCTCCTCGGGACAGAAAATAGTCACTGCATCAGTTAATGACTTTCCAGTTAGTTACTTTGTATGAGCTCCTGGGGCTACAGATGTTGACAGCATTTTTAGACTCCAGGCTCAGTCGTCAATCATCTTTGCAAAGAAACAGATGGAAGGGGATGTAAGGGGAGTAAGAATGCCACTAGAATTTTTTTTTCCAAAAGCACAATGGTTGATGGTTAGGCCAACCTTGTGGAAAATGTTAAATAGCGATGATAATAAGAGAATGACAATTTAGTTTTTAGGTCTAGGAAGCTGGTGCTCATGGGCTTTTGAGAATAACAGTCAAGTTTCAAATCATTATTTTGCCACCTATTAGTCGTGAGTCCCTTAGGCACATAATTTCATCTCTCTGTGCCTTACTTTTCTCAGTTGTAAATTGAAAATAATAAAAATAGCACCTACGTTATAGAGTTGCTATTTGAATTATAGAAGATAAGCTTTCTAATGCTGAGCCTGGTGTCTCTCAAAGAGTAACTACTCAATTAACTTTCATTGTTATTGTGATATTGTTATTGTCAATATCATTATTTTTGGTATGTTATAGTTGCCATTTTTATTCCAGAAATATATTATCTTCAATAAAAACCTAAAGCATGCCCTCTTAGAAAAACCAGGTCCAGACACTGGATTTTGAACTTTTTAAGTGTGCAGCACTTTGATCATGATGGAACGGTGAGATATGTGCTTCCACCCACTAGTCACAGGACAGCAGGCTCTGGACTCCATCCTTCTGGTGGCCTGCAGCTACTGAAGTACTTGCTTTAAGTACTGTTACATTACCAGAAAGGAGCAAGATTTAGAACTCATTGGCATTTTGATGTGGGTGGGTAGAGGGAAAACATGTGGCCACAGCTGTCATTTCCCACAACTGTAGCATTTTTATATTTGAAATTAAGAGAGCTGTACTCTGCTGGACCCCAAGCACCCACTGTGGCCTTTCAACTATCCAGCTAACTCTTACAGTCTCCTGCAGGCCTCTTCCCCTCTCTTGCTTTTTTACTATTCAGCTTAAAGATTTCAAGTGAGCAACTCTTCATCAAGGTAAATTTGGGGATGCATTTTAAAGAATCCAGCTTGGTAATTTAAAAAATACTGTCTAGTCTTCTCTTCTGAACTAACATAAAATAAATAAATGACATACTTCTGTCCCAGTAGGCTTTGTATTAAACATGTGAGTCATTTTGTTCTTTTGTACCTATCATTCCTATCACCATAGGAAGACAGAGGGAGAAAAACCTCACCTTGTAGTATCCCCCTCATATTTCTAAGCATAGCCAAGTCCAACAGGTTCAGCAAAAGGTAAGTTATTAGTTAGAAGTTGCAAGTTGCATCCTCCACCAGTTCTACCCTATGTATCCTGACACAAATAAGCACTGCCTTTGTCAATGAGTTTCCTCACTTATGTCATTCATAGTAGATGCAGAGATACCCAAACCAATCATCCCAGATAACTTAATTTGAATTTATGTACCTGTAATTCTCTGGGCACACCAAGCTCAGTTCTAGAAGTCTTACGGGATCAGTTGACACTTACCTTTCCCAGGTGCAAAGGCATCATACTGCAGCAGTTCCTTATTCATATACTTCTCAATTTTACATTTAAAAATAGAAATTTGTAATTAAAACAAATTAAAAAACAGATATATGTTTAAGGATCAAAAGTTAATTGAATTGAAAGTCAATTCCATTGATCTGGGGTTTGGAACACATATCAGATAAAGTCATTATTGTCCAAAAACACACCGCTTACCTCTTTTCTCAATTTTGCTTGTCTTACCTCGCAAAAGGCTCTCAGGTCTACAGTGGCATCTTTTATCAAGTACATTGTGTTGTGCTGGTGGCTGAAGAAATAAGATTTTTTTTTAAAGGTTGATTCTGTTTTTTAATTTTGAAACACTAAAAAAATAACTAGGTTGGATCATATAAAATTTGCATTTTTATAGATCAAAATCATTGGGCACTGGCAGTTTCATATGGCTCACTATATAAAATTAAAGGAGACCTTCAATTTATATTCTGCCTTTCCTAATTCATGATTGTTAACATTCTGGGCCAGATGCAGTGAGTCCCTGCCTAAAAAAGAAAAAAGAAAAAAAAATGGTTATAGATGCTTCCACTCACTTTATTTTTTATTTATTTATTTGTTTATTTTTTAATTTATTTATTTATTTGAGACAGTCTCCCTCTGTCACTTAGGCTGGAGTACAATGGCGCAATCATAGCTCACTGCAGCCTTGAGTGCCCAGGTTCAAGCAATCCTCCCACCTCAGCCTTCCCAGTATCTGGGACTATAGGCATGTGCCACCACACCCAGCTAATTTTTGTATTTTTTGTAGAAAAAGGGTTTCACCATGTTGCCCAGGCTGGTCTCCAACTCCAGGGCTCAAGCGATTTACCCTCCTCGATCTCCCAAAGTCCATTATAGGTATGAGCCACTGCACTCAGCCTTCCACTCACTTTTTAAATGATATAAGCCATTACAGATCAAGTTAAAGCCCCTTTTAATAGTGCTGCAGACCCCTGGCTCTCTCTGTCCCCAGAGGCAATGTTATCTGAATGTTAGGGGTATTCTTCTCATCATTTCACACATGGATACCGAAATGTAAATCTATTTTCATTCATGTTTTTCTTACTCATTAATGTTACTTTAAACTCGATTGTCCTCTCCTGTAAAGGAGGAAAGGGATGGCCTTTGACCGGCTTTCTCATGTAGAATCTCTCTTAGACTTTTACCCTGTTTCTTTTTCTCTTTTTTTCCTAAAAAATTATAAAATATCTTAAGAAAACCTAAAGCTCTCTTTGAATTCTCTGTTTGAGGAGTTCTCAATAAATCTCACAGAAGACACCCACCTCTTAACTCTGCGGCATAAGGAAGGCAGTTCAAGCCCATATAACCCAGGGAAAACTAAAATTCTCATTTTTTCTTCTATCTTCAACCTCCTCTTAATCTCAAATTTCACATCCACCAAGGAAAAAATATATTCTTTCTAGATGCATCTTATTCTTTTTTTATCAGTGAGCCTCTGTTATGATGTTAATAAAATAGTGACGTGACCAAATATTGAAAGAACGAAATGACCTATGAATTGGCACTAGCACATATGGTAAAATAACATGAACCAAATCAGAAAGGGAAAAATTTTCTTTCCCACAGTTCCAACCAAAGCAGCCATGAAAACAAAGACAGACTAGTAAGACTCAGTGTTAAAAAAAAAAAAAAAAAAAAAAAAAAAAACTTGGAAGGAATATTGCACTTGGCCAATTCCTCTGTTTGATCCGAATGGGGTTGGAACCCCTTTACAAACTCTTTTTCATGATAGTCACTTATTTAAAGTAATATCACATCAACTTCTCCACACTACATAATTAGAAATGCTTTACCCCTTTCTCAATTAATATCAAAGTTATAATATATACAAGATTTTTAAAGCTTCTTTGTTTGAATTCTGAATTAACGTATGTACTCATATTTTGGATCCCAACTGAAGCTAATCTCTATAATGTTCTAATGGGGTAATAAAATTCATTTTTCTAACTATGACATATTTGAATGTTGAATAATTGTATTCCAGTATGTCTTTTCTCTTTGTTAGTTTGCTTTATTCTTACTACATTTGTATTGCAGCCTTCCTTGCTTTGCATTAATAAGTGTGCTACAATGATGTTATAATCGTTTTTAGCAAAGAGAGATTCTGCATGAAACATTTTTATGACTTCTCAATATGGCAAGTTTAGGCATTAAAGTAAATCTCTCTGTCACAATTAATGTTTAATCTGGATTTTTATAATACTAACAGACATACGTTAGACTGTATTTATTTAAATAAATGCCATTCTCCCCAGGGGTTCACAGTCACTGTGGTACAACTCACTACACTGATGGTTCAAAGTCTTTTCTGTTATTCTTCTATCTAATGGCTGTTGTTACCACTGAACTTCCTTGAATAAAATATTCTTTCTTTTTCTTGCAGTTGAAGAAGTTTAGAATGCTCAAAGAAAGACTAGTGATTCAAAAGGCATTGATAGTCTGGAAACCTGAGCTAAATTGATCCATAATGGCTTATCTTTCCTTAGACTGGGTCATCTAATTTAGTAACTACCCTCCCAATCTCTCTACCTTTTCTATCTTCATGGAAGTTTCTTGTTTTTAAATTTTCCTTTAATAGGAAGTCAGTCAAACTGTTTTGAAAAGTTGGCAGGTTCTAGGAAATATGCTGGAAAAAATAAGAATATAAAGAGTCTGATCCAATTTAAATAGAATATTAAAATGGAAGGGACCCCAGAGATTGAATGCTGTGTAATGGAAACATATTATGTGCCATATATGTAATTTAAAATTTTCTAGTAGCCAATTAAAAAGGAAAAAAGAAATAGGTAAAGTTATTCTTAATAATATTGTATTTAACCCAATGTGAGCAAAATATTATAATTTCAATATGGAATCATTACAGAAACATTAATGAGATATTTTACATTCTTTTTTGTACTAAGACTTTGAAATCCAGTGTGTAATTTGTGCTTCCAGCATATCTCAATATGAACCAGCCACATTTCAAATGCTTAATAGCAGCATGGACATACAGGCTATCAAATTGGGCAGTGATTACCTAGGCAATTGCCTGAGTTTTATCAATGTAGAACATACATCGAGAGAGGACAAATGGCAGACCCAGGGTGTCAGCCAGTCAGTGCCAGATCTCAACCCAACATTCTGACTCACAGTTCAGTGTTCCTGCAAGCACAGTGGTAAAATCAGGTCTGGGGCTTTGATGACATTGCACTAGGTACTATATTATTACTACTTAAAGCAACCTTGCAGGAACCAGAGTTTATCCTCGGTTTCAGAATAAGATATAAAAGCTCAGAGATAAGAAATTACCTCCTCAGGCTTAGATCTGAGACCAGTTTTGTCTGACCGCAAAGCCTGGGCTTTTTTTTTTTTTTTTTCTTGCATCCCAATGTCCTTTCTCTCCAATCTAAGACCCTTTAAGACCATGACTCCAAGTGTGGTCTAAGGAGCAGCAGCATCTGTTGCCTCTAGGAGTTTGTTAGAAATACAAAATCCTGAGCCCTGCTTCCATACCTATAAGGCTGCATTTATCAAGATCCCAAGTGATTCATGTAAAATCTAAGCCATCTCAACAAAATACAAATCTCTGTATAAATTAAAAGAATTTCTGGGAAAATGGATTTGTACCCTGTCAGACACATGGCAGATAATCAGAAATACCTTTTGGATTGAATTACAGCATGAGAAGAAAAAAACCAGCTTGAATATTCAAGGAAAAAGAAATAAAAATAGAATTTTTCATTAAAAATGGGTTTCCAAAACTAAATCTTGAAATTATAAAATGCCCTATCAACCATCCTAACACCTGTCTTCTTCCCTCTTAATCTCTTCCACTCTCCTTAGGTCATAGGTATGTAAACTTTCGTTCCCCCAAAATTCACTGAATGACAAGGAAACGTTAATGTATTTGAATGGAAGTGTGGCAACATTACACAGGGAAAAGTGGTATAAGAGTATTTTTGCCACATGAAAAAGCAATGCATCAGCCAAATAGAATTGTCAAGATGTGCAGTTCATGGCAGGATTTGCAGCTCACCATGTTCTACCTCCCATGGAGCTCTGTCCATTTCTTGACATTAGGCTCCAGCTGAGATTTCTTTGGTGTTCCTGAAAGTGGCTCTTGCTAACGGGTCAAAGGTTGATTGTGTATTTATCCTGAGCCTCTTCAATCACATTTTCAGTATTTTCCTCATATGTCATGACGCCTTCAGCTCTTCCTTTCATTCAGTGTCAGGCAGTTCATTAAGCAGATGTTAATCAGTCTGGATGTTTTGGGTAGAAAATGAATGATGTGAATAGCACAGGTCCTCTCCAAAAGGCTGAATCTGCGGAACGCTGCTCAGTGAGGTGTTTGTCCCTCTTTCCCACTTCCTAACTCCATGGGGCATTGCTGGCTATTTTTGTCCTTTAGAAAACAACAGCAATGTGATGTATAATAGCAGGGTTCTAACCAATATTTCATTGTGTCGCACAGGGACCGCGCAAACTGTGTGTTAAGGAGATGAACGGTGGCATGGCGAAAAAACAGGCCTGGCTTATAAAGAACAAAATCAAGGCTTTTTACGCTGCAGTGGCGGCAGACTGTTTCAGGGATGGTGTCCGAAGTCTCCTTCAGGTAAGGCTGCATTCAGGGAATGAGCACAGAGGCAAAGAACAATGAGTGCTCCATGTTAATGAGGCTCCCAGAGTGAATGGCTGTAGTTAGGCAGCCCAGCATCAGAGATTGGTGCAGATGGTTAAGGAATTATTTTGAATTCCTGGGTATAGGCAAAGCTAGAACAAAAGCAGAGAAGTTCTATTACAATGAACTATGAATGATACACTGGAAATGGAAAATGAGGTTGCCTTTGGCCACCAGCATACATTCTGCCCCCGTACTTATTGAAATGCAAATTTGTTCTGGTGGTTGACGACATTCAGGATCCTATTGAAACTTCAAACTATTTTTATATCTCATACTGCATATAGCAACGCTCAAGTCAGGCATTCTTTTCCTTTTTTCTTTTGCAAATGGTGTTAGGGCAGCTGCTAGACCAACTAAATTAATGCACGGTGATCTGGGCATAAAATCTCCCTATCCTCCTGAATTATTTCCAGAACGCTGAATAAAATGTAATAATCTCTACAGCTCAACCTTAAATCCCACAGTTCTCTCATCTTTTCTCCCTTATTTTTTTCCTTTTTCCTTCCTTTATCTCTGCTATAGTAAGTACATAAAATCTTTCCCTAGTTCTGATCTTCACAATTTAAAGTGACGGAGAATCCTTAAAACAAACAATCCAAGAGACCCTCAGAAATTGTAGAGCTTGGCTTTCTGAGCATTTTGGGTTTAGTATGGTTGAAAAACCCTAATTATGTATATATGAAATGGTGCATTTGGCTTTCAGAGTTACCGTATCTCAGAGTGTCAGAAGTCAGAACTGCATCCAGGTAACTCAGATGCGCATGCAGGCAGGAAAGAAAAAATATTGGTTAAGCTTAATTGGTAATGTTTTGGAGCTTAAGAGTATTTGATGCAATCCTGTGTCTAATTTCCCTTAATAACACTTGCGAGGTAGCTGCACATGCAGAGAAACCATTTCTGCAAAACCTATTACCCACAATGAGCCCCTTTTCATCTGTTATTAATTTGCTAAACCATGGAAATAGGTGTTACTGCAAGATGCTGATTTTTCTTTCAGTACCAAGTTAGTTTTCAATAGCTCTTTGGTTAAATATATTGGCACTACTAGTCATTTATTATAAAATTATCATAGAAGATTGGTAAAACAAAATTTTCAACTAGGAATGGGAATATGGACATAAAATAAGCGCAGAGAAAGAAAAGACACAAGTATGAAAAAGAACTCTTAGATTAATCCAGAAGAAATGGTAGCAAATTTGAACATGCATACATTCACATGCATTTCTTCACATAAAAAGTGAAGTACAGGGGAGCCATGGCAAAAGGACAAGACAAAGTGACATTAAAGGAAGCACTGCAGTTATATCATCTCAAATAAAACCATCTTTGCATCTAAGAAGTTATGGTACAAATTATCAAATCCTCAGAGTGTAGCTGTGGAAAAGACTACATCCATAACTTCTTACTGCCACACATTTGCCAAGGGCCAAATGAGGACTCCAAGAAGCTGCTGGGCTAGGAACAGTGCACCAAATGTTTTGGAGGCAAACTTTATTTCAGGAGCCCTCCTTCATTGCCTATCTCCTTCCACCTGCTATTGTTTCCTCTAAAATGTCCAGCTCTGGCATTTCTTTCACTCTTCCCATGACACAGAACTACCTTCCATGACTCCCACTGCTCTCCCATCTTATTTTTTTTATTTGAGATGCAGTTTCACTCTGTTGCCCAGGCTGGAGTGCAGTAGCACGATCTTGGCTCACTGGAACCCTCGCCTCCCGGGTTCAAACGATTCTCCTGCTTCAGCCTCAAGAGCAGCTGGGATTACAGGCGCACACCACCATGCCCAGCTAATTTTTTGTATTTTTAGTTGAGATGGGTTTTCACCATGTTAGCCAGGCAAGTCTCAAACTCCTGAGCTCAAGTGATCCACCCACCTCAGCCTCCCAAAGTGCTGGGATTATAGGCATGAGCCATCGCACCTGGCTGCTCTCCCATCGTTACCTGTCAATGTCTCACCAACTCCCAAGACTCAGTCGAAATACCACCTCTCCTATGAAGCTGGCCATGAATCCTCACCTGTAATTCAAGTTTCCTTCCTTTGTTCTTCTATATGAGTTTCTATTACATTTGCATGTATATTAGAAGTATTTGTGTAAATATTGTCTTCTTCACCATGTTTAGTTCCATGAGGACAAAGAATGTGCTTCACCACTCTCCCACCAAAACTGACGTAGCACTGTGCAATTCATAGATGCTTAGTAATATTGTCAAATTAAATTTTATTAACTAGAAGCTGTATGCTGTCGTCTAATGAAGGGAAACAACACCTCTGATATGGAAGACGGCTATTAATGATACTGTCATATAAAAGAATTAGGTTTTGGAAACATAATTTAGTCATTCTTCAATAAATAACATAAGTAGAGATTTCAGTGATCCTTGTACATAAGAATTTTCCAAACATGGATTTTATTGCTGATGACATTATGGATATAACAGGTGGAAATGAGCTTTGAACCACTAAGTTACAACATGCATACCAACAGTTAAGCTGACCCTCACTTGATTTTAAATTATTGAACCATTTTAATGAGTGTGTCAGAAGAAATGCAAATGACTGCTAATTTAGAAAAGCTACATTTCTGTCATCTAAAATCCATTTATAGCTGAGATGATTTAGAATTAATCTTTCTATTTTATGCTTGGGTACGGGCATGAAGGACATGCACTAAAATGTAATCTAATCTTCAGAATCTTCAGAACATTACTTCAGTGCTCCTTTAGACATTATTTTTCATTTGTGCTGGTAGTTTCCCAGTACGGTAAGGATTGCCCATGTTTTTATGTCCTCTGTTTAGGCCTCAGGCTTAGGAAGAATGAAACCAAACACTCTGGTGATTGGATATAAGAAAAACTGGAGGAAAGCTCCCTTGACAGAGATTGAGAACTACGTGGGAATCATACAGTAAGTGATGGCTTTCAAGACGTGTTCTTGTTTATAAAGCACTAACCAGGGCAGTACATAACTTGTACTGCACATAACACTGTTGTGTCAGATTAAATTGCCTGAGAAGAGCACATTCCCCTGGTACTCTGACTTCTTTCCCAAGGTGAAAAAAACACCACCAATAATAGAGTTTGAGGGAATCAGAGTGTCAGAGGAGGCAGGGTGAGAGAAACACCAGTGCCAGAGAAAAAAGTAAATGTTTAGAGTTACAACCTTAAGATCTATTTACAAGATTAAAAGCAAAGCACAGCTAAGCAAAGAGAAATTTTTCTTTCAAAACACCTGGAATCTTGGGTTGGCTGGTGTCTCCAATTCAGTCATTGTCTTCTTCTGAGTCTCTGATAATTCGTTCACTATCCCAGAGCCCTATATCTCCCTCTGCTAAGAGGCTCCCATATGCCAGGTGCTTCTGTTACCAGGTGGAGCGTCAATGGCTTGTGCACAGAATGTGAGTTTCTGGTGGTACATAACCTCTAATAGCTTAATATTTGAGGAGGCTTAGGATACAGGTGATAATGATAGATCTTAAAGGACTAGCAGGCAGCAGGCTAATGTCTTTAACATGAATTATCTCATTTAATTCTCATAGAAAGATTTCGAAGAAAGTACTATTATTTTTTTCCGATTCTACAAGTGGAGACAAAGACATTAAAAATTAAGTAGCATACTGAAAAATCTCAGCAGTTAGTGACAGAGCTGGAATTCCAACCCAAGACTATCCAAATGCAAAGCTGAAACTCATGACCATAACGCTATGCTTTCTCTATATATTGTATACTCCAAAACAAGTATTATATATTTTATACTCTATATAATATATATTACATACTTCAAAGTATTTTATATATATTATATACTCCAAGTATTACATTATATATTATATACTCCAAAATTGTGTGTACATGTATGTATAAATATATATATGTGTGTGTGTGTATATATATACTCACAGTTTTGGAGTATATAATATATAATACTTGGAGTATACATATATACATATAATACTTGGAGTATATAATATGTAACATTTGGAGTATACATATATACTCCAAGTATTACCTGGCTTAGTTTTTTTCCTTTGAATAAGAGAAAACAAATTCTACACATACAGAGAGAAACACTGTAGAAAGTTGAGCCTTTCGACCAGACTAGGCACGGTGGCTCATGCCCATAATCCCAGCATTTTGGTAGGCCGAGACGGATGGATCACCTGAGGTCAGGAGTTCCAGACCAGCCTGGCTAACATGGTGAAACCCCGTCTCTACTAAAAATACAAAAATAATACAAAAATTAGCTGAGCATGGTGGTGGGTGCCTACTCGGGAGGCTGAGGCAGCAGAATTACTTGAACCTGGGAGATGGAGGTTGCAGTAAGCTGAGATTACGCCACTGTACTCCAGCCTGGGCAACAAGAGCGAAACTCCATCTCAAAAAAAAAAAAAAAAAAAAAAGAAAGTTGAGCATTTCTTCTAGGCTTGAAAATACTCTATCAGACTCCAGAGGGGTAATGTTAGCTATGCCCAAAAGCCATCTTTTGTGTCAACATCTCTGAAAATGGAAGGTTTCCTGTGTCTGGGATCTGGCTGCACTTTGATTTCAGACCATAGGGTACATGACATCCCTTGGGAGATACAGCTGCACTTCAAAGTTCATCCTATCCGCCGAAAACAAGTATACGCTTAGCACTTCTTAAAGTAGGCTATTTCTTCTACCCCTTGTTATTATAATCATAACATTTATATTGAGCAGATTTATGCAACATATTAACAAAAGCATTCTTAGTTCTATTGAAAGGAAGCATAAGAAAATAACTTTTATCTTCTAAAAGTACAGGAATTACTGAACAAACAGAAATTCACTCAACAGTCTTTCTAATGTGCAGAACCTATCTATTAAGTGCATTGTGTTTCCTGAACATATAAAGCCTGGATGCCACGTGCTGTCATCTGGCTCCTGCTGGTGTTATAAGTTCAGTAAGTTAAGGCTAAACCAGGTGATCGGGATAAGAATTTTACCAGGCTCAGCAAACAGTATTTTGATATGTTTAGAATCAGTCAGTTGCTGATCAGACATTCTTGGAAATTGACCAGATCTGTCCTCTGTTATCTAGATTCTTCAGTAAAATTTCATCTTTACCTTGGGGAACAAAAGGGATGGGGTGGGGCGGGCGGGGGTAGAGCAAATAGGAAGTAATGTGTAAATCTTCAACGAAATAGTCCATTATTTGATACAGAATTACTTCAGACTGTCTTCCAACCTCCCTACCATCCCAAACATTCTAGAAATCCAAAGGGAGCAAAATAATCAAACCCAGTAATACTGAACCAAGGAGGTCTCTGGCTTTTATAGCAAATTAATAATAGATCTCCTTGGTAATAAAGTTCAGTATTAGGGTGACCCATATTTGTACTAGTATAAAACCTAACTGGATTGGTAAAGTTAAATGACTTTACTAGCACAGCAATGAGGCTAATAGTGACAATCATGTGTCCATATTACATTTCCCTTTCCAATTTTTGTGGCTTTATGACTTAAAGTACAGTATTATTGTTAACACAGGGGTATTATTATAAAACTATAGTATTTTACCATTTTTCTTTTTCTTTTTTTTTTTTTTTGAGACAAGAATCTCCCTCTGTTGCTCAGGCCGGAGTGCAGTGGCGCGATCTCGGCTCACTGCAAGCTCCGCCTCCCGGGTTCATGCCATTCTCCTGCCTCAGCCTCCCACGTGGCTGGGACTACAGGCGCCCGCCACCATGCCCGGCTAATTTTTGCATTTTTAGTAGAGACGGGGTTTCATCATGTTAGCCAGGATGGTCTCGATCTCCTGACCTCATGATCCACCCACCTCGGCCTCCCAAAGTGCTGGGATTACAGGCGTGAGCCACTGCGCCCGGCTACCATTTTTCTTTGAATAAAATATTTTAAATGTCTGTAATATTCTTAAGTATGGTTTAGTGTTTTGTTTGTTTGTTTTTAAGACAGAGTCTCGCTCTGTTGCCCAGGCTGGAGTGCAGTGGCGCAGTTGTGCTCACTGCAACCTCCAGCTCCTGGGTTCAAGCAACTCTCTTGTCTCAGCCTACCGAGTAACCAGGACTACAGGTGCACACCACCATGCTCAGCTAATTTTTATATTTTTTGGTAGAGTTGGGGTTTCACTATGTTGGCCAGCTTAGTCTTGAACTCCTGTCCTCAGGTGATCCACCACCTTGGCCTCCCAGAGTGTTTAGATTACAGATGTGAGCCATCTTACCCAGCCAAGTATGGTTTAATTTTAATCAGAATTTGTATGTATTAGTTTTCAATGGCTGCCATAACAAAGTACCTCAAATTTAGTGGCTTAAAACAATACTTTAGGCTGGGCACAGTGGCTTATGCCTATTATTCCAGCACTTTGGGAGGCCGAGGTGGGCAGATCATTTGACGTCACGAGTTTGAGACAAACCTGGTCAACATGATGAAACCCAACCTCTACTAAAAATACAAAAATTAGCCAGGCATGGTGGTATGCACCTCTAATTCCAGCTACTCAGCAGGTTGAGGCAGAATCGTTCGAACCTGAGAGACGGAGGTTGCAGTGAGCCAATATCACACCACTGCACTCCAACCTGGGTGATAGAGCCAGTCTCTGTCAAAAACAAAAAACAAAAAACGACCACACACAATACTTGATTATCTTACAGTTCTGTAGAATAGAAGTCTGGCATGTGTGGGCCAGGCTGCATTCCCTTCCAGAGGCTCTAGGATAAATTTCTGACCTTGCCTTTTCCAGCTTCCAGAAGCTTCCCTCATGTGGGTGTGGCTCAGGAATGCCTTCCTCAATCTTCAAAGCCAGCAATGGCTGGTCAAGTTCCTCTCACATCACATTACTATGACCTCCTCTTATGCCTCCTAATTTCACTTTTAAGTACCCTTGTGATTACTCTTGTCCCATCCAGGTGATCTAGGATAATCTCCCCCATCCCAAAGTCCTTAACCTAATCACATCTGCCAAGTCCCTTTTGCCATGTAAGGAAATACAGGTTCCAGGAATTAGGATACTTTGAGGGTGCATTATTCTACCTAACACAGAATCCAAATTTTTTTTTGTGGAGCACATTGTCTACTTTTTATAATCGAGGGCAATCAGAAACAAGATTTGTTTATGAGGAATTTACTTTGTAACAACTTGTGCCAGAATGGACCTATTCTGTTAAGACAAGATTGTTTATGATTTGGATTTTGAGTGGATATTCATATTGCACCAAACTTATGTACACCAAATGAAAATTCAGGTTGACTTTGGCCATTGGAAACTGTTTGCGTATGGCGGGACAATTGTTTTTGGGGTAGGATGACCTAATGGCAAGAAGTCGTTAAGTTTTAGATCCATAGAAGTATAAACAAAGGACCTCCCAATGAAAAAAAATTTAAATGACTCAAAGTATTAATTGACTTGCTTCCATGTTTAGCACCAGAGAAAACATTTATGTCTTAAACTTTAATCTCTTCAAACAGAGATAAAAGAAAGACAGACTTTATTTCTCTTCTAGGTAATCAAATTCCTTTGGGTTGCATACAGAGAAAACACAGGAGCGAGTATGTAGGGTTGCCATGAAAAAGCATTGCTCCAAGTGACCAGTTTAGAGTCAATTCTGAAAATACAGGAACTGGAGACATTTCTAACCATGTACTTGATATCAGAAATGTTATAGGAGTCCTTCTAGGAGGCAGCCAGGTTGGGGGTGGTGGCTAATCATTTCAAAGAGTCTTTGCAGTCTGTAAACTCTGTGTTCTAAATATGCCAGTGATTGTTTTGCTCGCTGTATAAAAGATTCGATTATTTTTAAAAGATGCGACAAGCTCTTAATCAAAATTCTGATGTATAGTAGTATTTGAATAAATTGGCTACAGTGAATAATTTAGTTACCTCTACCCAAAATATACTTTAAAAAGGCATAAGGGAAGAACAAACAAACACATGCATCAGCTCTTGGCTATATTCTAAAGTGGATTTTAATAGTTTCATTATATCAAAATCCTGGAAGCAAGTATAATACTAGTCCTAAGCTTGAGGATTAAAATAGCCATTTAAAACACTAACTGTTTTGCTTCCTCTTTCAGTGATGCATTTGATTTTGAGATTGGTGTGGTTATAGTCAGAATCAGCCAAGGATTTGACATCTCTCAGGTTCTTCAGGTGCAAGGTATGTACTTTCTTATTCAACCAACAAGTATTTATTGAGCACCTACTTTTTGCCTGACATTGTTCTAGGATATAGCAGGACACAATATAGACAAAACTCCTTAACGGTGGAGCTTACATTCTAGTGCTAACTCATAGTGCATATAGTTCCCCCAGTATTTTCTCCAATGCTAACACAAGCAGCCTTTGCCCTGCTAACCACAAATATTGAGGAATTCAAGGTGGTCATCAATTATTTTTCTTATCACAAAAACCACAAAGCCAGCATCAAGGAAAATAAACAACTTCAGTAAAATAACCTGCCAAATTAATTTCTGCAAGATGTTTCAGAAAATGAAGATTAATTCTTTCCCCAGAAAAACACGTATTTTGCTTTTGAGAGTCTATGAACTGGTTTGTAGCTAACATGGAAATGAGCCTGAATGTATCATGCTGTGAATCACTAATCTAAGTCAGAGGCAGAAACACTAATTCAGATTAGTGACTCTTTGTTTTTTCCCTGTAGAGAATTTGGTATACTTGCTTAGTCTTAGAATTTAAACATACTCTCTTGTGTATGAAATAAAGAACATACTGATATACTTACTGAAAAATTAGCACAAGATATGAATTCATGACTCATCTCTTCCGCTGAGCCTCACAGCAGAGTCCGCTTACAACACAACATTAAGAAAAAAATGATGCTGTTCTAGTGCCTGTTATGTGCCAGGCATAGTGTAGGTGCAAGTGGTGCTGGGTAGACTAAGATTAATAAATTCTGTCTGTGCCCTCAAGAGACACACAGCCTAGTAAGGGAAGTAGATCAATTATTAGCATTATAATAAGTATAAATAAGGAATTATGGGAAAGAAGGAAGGGGCACCTACCTCACTCCAAAAAGGCGTTCTGGAGAAAATTACCTTTGATTTGAGATTTACTGGATGAGTAGGAGTTAACCAGACAAAGTTGATGGAGAGAAAAGTAAAGAGACAGTTTGGAGAATGCATTCCTGACAAAGAGGAACGTGTTTGCAAAGGTGAGGACATGGGAATAGAGAGGAATGCAGTATATAGACAACCAAAAGCAGATTCATGTTACTGAAGTGAAAAGTAGGAAGCCAACAATAGTAAAATATGAGGCTGCCACTATAAGGAGGATCTAGACTGTAAAAGCCTCATTTGCCATATTAAAAAGATGGATCACATTCTGTAGATAATGAGGAACCATCAGAGACATTCAAGTGAGGGAATAATGTGGTCAAACTTGGGTTTTAGATCTCATGCTCTTTTGGTTATATGGGGCATGGACTCAGGACTAGAATGGAAATAGACAAATCAAAGAGTTCTACAATAATCAAACAAGACAAGGTGACAGCTTGAACTAGGGCAGCCTCAGTTGGGATGGAGAGAAAAGAACAGAGTTGAAAAGTATTTTGCAGGTACGAAGAGCGGCGTTTGGGAGTTGATTGGATATGTGGGATATGGGAAAGGGAGGAGTAAAGAAAAACTCCTTGGCTGACTGGATGAGCCAATGGAAATAGGAAATGCAAGAGGAAGTACAGGTTTAATGAGGAAATGCCTGGCTCAATTTCAAACAATCTCATGTGGGAAGTCCTACGGGAAATGTCTAACAGACAGTTAGACAGTCCTCATCGTAAAAGAGAAATCTGAACTGGAAATACAGATTTAGGAGATGTTATGGGCTGAACTGTGTCTCCCCGCCCCCACCAAATTCATATGTTGAAGTGCTAACCCCCAGGACCTCAGAATGTGACTGTATTTGGAGATAGGGTCTTCAAAGAGGTAATTAAGGTAAAATTAGGTTATTTGGGTGGGCCCTAATCCAATATTACTGGTGTCCTTATAAGAAGAGATTAGGATACAGACTGAAGGGTAATCATGTGAAGACATGGTGAGAAGGCAGCTGTCTTCAAGCCAAGGAACAAGGCCTCAGAATGAAATCGATCCTGCTGATGCCTTGATCTTGGACTTCTGGCCTTCAGAATTGTGAGGAAATAAATGTACATTGTTTATGACACCCTGTCTGTGGCATTTGTTATGGCAACCTGGGTGGACTAATACAGGAGACATCATGGCTAATGTGAATTGAAACCATCACCCTAGAAAATAGAACTCAAAGAGTGTGTGTAGCCAAGGACTCCAAAGAGTAGGAAAAAGGCCCCAAAGAAAAGAAGGAGAGGTCAGAAAGATGAAGAAACCAGAAGTCTGGGGTCAGGTAAACCATGGGAGTACAGTGCTCAAAATGAGAATAATCAACATTGCCAAATGCAGCAGAAATGTACAGTAAGATCATGAACCAAATGGAATTGGCATGACACAGGTAATCTTAGTGAAAGTAATTTCTGTAAAGCAGGGTTATCAGAATCGAGATTGCAGTGGGTTGAGAAGAGACTATGAGATGAACGAGCAGAGAATATGGATGTAGCCAACCCTTCTGAGAAGCTTGGATGGTAACAAGAGGAATGAGATTGAGCAGGCTTACCATGGGGAACCCATAGACCTCTGAATGGGAGATCAAATCATATTTCCAGACTGAGGAAATGGCACAAGAGAGTGCAAACACTGAAGATGTAGGCAAAGAAAGGGGCGACCCATGGAGTAAGATCCAGGAGGAACAGAAAATTGAGGGAAAGGCATGAATGGAAGAGTTGGCCTGAAACAGAAAAAAAAAAAAACAAAAACAAAAAAAAAAAAAACACTTCATCTAAAATTGGAGCAAAGGAGGTGAGGATTGATGATGGGATACGTGGATTTGTGAGAGTGGAGTGATAAATCAAAGAAGATGATGCACAATAGTCTCAATTCTTTCTTTTAAGCTGGAGCAATGGTTTACTTCTAAAAGCAAGAGAGGAATGGTTTAACTGAGAATGAGAAGAAACTAGTTAAGCATTTTAAAAAGTCATGATAGAGAATGAAAAAGATCAGCAAGAACTGATCAGTGTACAACAGTGAAAACCCAGTTGTGGTTGTCCAGTTTTCTCTGGCAGCATGAAGTCTCCAAGGCACAGGAGCAGTACCAGGGTATTCTCAGTAGGTTCAGCAGAAAGAAAAAAGAATTCTTAAGGGCTGTTGCCTGATGGATTCGTATTCTATTTGCTGGTTCATGATTGTCTCCATCAAAATAGGAAAGAATATGGGTGGATTAGGTGAATTTTCTGATGCAACCATTCTGGTATGTTGTAGGAGAAGAGGAGGATGAAGAAAAAAACTAGAGAACAAGTGTTTTTATAAGGTAGCTACTATCTGATTATGTATACTCTATGATAATGAAGAGCATTAAAAAATAAAACTGCAAGGAGAGTGCATCTTATGCAAAATTGTAGCACAAAAGGTTATCTCTTGGTGACTTCAGCCTTCCTTTGTATGCCCCTTTTCTTCTTTATGGATATTTTAAACTCCAGATCAGAAATACTAACTCCCACTCACTGGGCATTCACTATTAATGTATATTCCCTCCTAGTAGAACTTAATACTTTGTAGCAACAATAGTTAAAATATTTGAGCACTTATTATGCACCGTCTATTATGCTTCATGTTCACATATAACATTTATCATCCCAGCTACCCTATGAGGAGAGTATTATCATTGTCCCCATTTTACAGCTGGTAAAATGGGGGCTTACCCAAGATTCACAAGGCTCATCATTGGTAGAGCTGGGATTCAAACCTGTATCTGTTTGAAGCCCCTGTTTCATCTTTGAAAAAGAAGAGCTAGAGAGGATGATGACATATAACGAGAGGCAATGGGGAAATCTGAGCTCTGGGAATGAGGCAGAGCCGTTTCTATGTGTTCCTTAAGACACCCAACAAGGGGGCTGCCTGTCTGCAGAAAGATAGACCTAACTTTGAGGGCAGTTACAAGAACTGAATATTAACAGAACTGTTCTGTTGCAAACTTCGTAGGTTTTACTTTAATTTTTTTTCCTGGCTTTTGTGCTATAATGTTTTCCATCTAAAAATGAGAATGCAAAATATAACTTGTATTTAGATTACACATTTGCTTTGTGTGTTATGTTGCTCTCTGCAAGCTGAAAGATGTGATGTAGCTGAAAAGCATTGCTCCCACCCCTCATTGTTCCATCTGCCAAGATGCACCATCAATTTACTTCTATAAAGCAATACAGCAACCAAGTTTTGCTGTATTTTTCAAAGAATCCTGGCAGTGAACTGCATCCCCTTTTAATTTCCCAAGGGTTGTATCCTATTTAAATAAACTTTGATGTTTGAAATATTTCTGCTTCTTAGTCAAGAAAGGGAAAATACAATTGGATGCTAATAAAATAATTACAAGTACCAACTATCTAGGGTAAACAAAGAAAAACAATATTATACAAGTACATGAAGAACAAGCAGAAAAACAACATAATGATAGAAATTAACTTTCCGCCACATTTCCATGCATTGTTTTGAGGTTTATGTAATTTATGACACAAACCTCTTATTAGATTTTGAATTGGAAGAAATAAACTTGCATTTCATTATATTATGCTGTAATTCAGGGCCTAATAAGGGCCTGATAAATCTTAAGTATTGCATTATACTATGTTAATGATTATCATCATAGCTTTTCCAACACAGGCACCACAGTGTCATCACAGATTATAATTTAAAGGAAATATTAGCAATTCAGAGTGCCCATATACTGTAGTTAATAAAGCAGTGAATAGAAATCAGCTTTATAGGTAATTTACCAGCTAATGACAATTATTTTTATATTGTATTACAGGCTTATGTGAAGAGAATAACTTTTAATATAAATAAGATCGATGCTCATAACATTGTAACTTGTATACTGTAGCAACTCATCTACTACTGATGACTGATAGTTTCTCTTAATAAATTAATTTATTGCCTGACAACACATACACAAAAAAAAATCATGATATTTCATACTGCTCACCTCCCAGGGATATTTAGCAAGTTTTCCAACTACAACAAGGAGTCCAAATTATACTGGTAAGAAATAAAGTGATGGAACATGATTTGCAATATATTGTGGTCA